TAGTCACCATTTATGTTGGTGAGAAAAGGTATTTGTAATGAAGAAGTTGTTGGTCTTGCAAAATTGTATCATGCGATCTCTGGCATCATTTCTATCACGAAGGCCATATTTTCCAACTACTGATCCTTTCTCATTGTTTCCAACTTCCACATTCCAATCACCAGTGCCTATCAATGCATTCTGATTGCATGTTCGATCAATTTCAGGCTGCAGAAGCTGGTAAAAATCTTCATTTTCTTCATCTTTGGCCTTCGTGGTTGGTGCGTAAATTTGAATTAATAGTTGTATTAACTGATCTTCCTTGTAGGCATATGGATATTGTCCTATCACTGACAGTGTTGTACTTCAGGATCGATCTTGAAATGTTCTTTTTGACGGTGAGTACACTGCCATTCCTCTTTAAGTTGTCATTCCCAGCATAGTAGACCATATGATTGTCCAATTCAAAATGGCCAATACCAGTCCATTTCAGCTCACTAATGCCTAGGATATAGATCTTTATGCGTTCCATTTCTGTTTTGATGATTTCCTGTTTTCCTAGATTCATACTTTGTACATTCCATGTTCCGATTATTAATGGATGTTTGCAGCTGTTTCTTCTCTTTTTGAGTCGTGCCACATCAGCAAATGAAGGTCCTGAAAGCTTGACTCCATCCATGTCATTAAGGTTGACTCTACTTTGAGGACACAGCTCTTCCCCAGTCGTCTTTTGAGTGCCTTCCAACCTGGGGGGCTCATCTTCCGGCACTACATCAGACAGTGTTCCGCTGCTATTCATAAGGTTTTCACTGGCTAATTCTTTTCAGAAGTAGACTGCTGGTCCCTTCTTCCTAGTCTGTCTTAGTCTGGAAGCTCAGGTGAAACCTGTCCGCCATGAGTGACCCTGCTGGTATCTGAATACCGGTGGCATTGCTTCCAGCATTACAGCAACACACAAGCCCCCACAGTACGACAAACGGACAGACACGTGACGTCTTGTTTTGTAGTCCTGTCCAGTCTTTGTCTGAAGAGTGGGCTTCAGAAATGGTTTCAGTTCTGGGTTAAAGTGGGTCCAGTGGCTATAGTTTCGGGGGTTCCTCCAGGCTCTGTCAATCTATTAAGTCTGGTCTTTTTACGTGAATTTGAGTTCTGTTCTGCATTTTTCCGCCCTGGCTCTGTCCAGGACTCTCTGTTGTGTTTCCTATTAGGGCAGTCACTGGTGATAGCCAAGCACCATCTAGTGCTTCTGGGCTCAGGCTGGTGGAGTCTGTGGTTCATGTGGTCCTTTAGTCCTTCAGGTTAATATTTTCCTTGTGTCTTCATTCTCCTTTGCTCCAAGTGGGATAGGACCAATTGATATATCTTAGATGGCTGCTCACAAGCTTTTAAGACCCCAGATGCCACTCACCAAAGTGGGATGTAGAACATTTTCTTAATAAACTTTGTTATGCCAATTGACCTAGATGTCCCCCTGAAACTATGTTCCCCAAGCCCCAGCCCTAGCTACTCTGTCCCTCAAAGTGTTTGGATGTGTCCAGGAAATTTCTTAGCTTTTGCTTTGGTCCAGTTGTGCTGATTTCCCATGTATTGCGTGTTGTCCTGCTATTTCAAGTCAATTCTGACACACAGTGAACCATGTGACAGAGTAGAACTGCCCCATAGGGTTTTCTAGGCTGTAATCTTCACAGGAGCAGATCACCAGGGGTTTTTCCCATGGAGTGGCTGGTGGTTTTGAACCACTGACCTTTCAGTTAGCAGCCAAGCACTTAACTATTTCACCACCAGGGCCCCTGCATATTATATTTATGTATTAATAACGTATTTCTTTGCCATATGTGTTAAAAATATTTTTCCCCAATCTATCAATTTGCCTCTTGACTTTGTTTACATTTTTTTTTTCACTCCACAATTTGTCACTAAGTTTTCTTTTCCTTTCTAGCTTTAGGATATCTTGCTTAAATTCCCCGCTGCCCTGCCCCAGGATATACAATATACAAATATTCTCCTAATTTCTCTTAAAATATTTCTGGCCCTTTACTTTCATGCATTTAAATTTTTAACTTCTCTTGTATATAGAAGGTCCTTGGGTGGCACAAACTGTTGTGTCGCACCCTAACTACTAAACACCAAGCAAAGATGTCACTTTGAGGACTAAGTTGCACCTGACTTAAGCATGGTATTTTCAATCGCTTCATATGCATGTGAAAGTTGGACAATGAATAATGAAGATGGAAGAAGAATTGATGGCTTTGAATTATGGTGTTGATGAAGAATACTGAATATACCATGGACTGCCAGAAGAAAGAATAGACCTGTCTTGGAAGAAGTACAGCCGAATTGCTCCTTAGAAGTGAGGATGGTGAGACTTCGTCTCATGTACTTTAGACATGTTGTCAGGAGAGACCAGTTCCTGGAGAAGGACATCAGCTTGGTAAAGTAGAGGGTCAGTGAAAAAGAGGAACCCCCTGTGGTGCAATGGAGCACTTTTATATGGCCTTGTTCACCATGGTCTTGTAACTCCCACCAAAAGATTGGGTGGGACTATGCAAGTAAGGTACTTATGGCTCACCAAAGGGATTGAACAGCTTGCTAATAATACAAATAAGGTTCATGGCATCCTTGTGGGGGTGGGACCATACAAATAAGGTATATGAAATCCTAATGAGGCGCTTGGTCAGTTTTGCCATCTGCTAAACTTAAAATAAGCCATCCCAGAGGCAAACAGGAGGGACCTCACTACCACCGAGAAAGAAGAGCTAGGAGTGGAGCACATCCTTTGGACCCAGGATTCCTGTACTGAGAACCTCCTAGACTCAGGAGACAGACAGGGAGAGCTGTAATGCCGGAGATGGCTGGAAGTGGTGGCAGAGAAATGGTAGCAGCAGGGGCAGGAGACCAGCGAGAGATGGTGTGGTGGACTTGCTGGCCCACAGAGGAAGGTGATTACAATGGGTATGCCAACCTGTGGAGCAAGAGAGCTCAGCGCCTTCAGGCAGGAGGCTTCTTGGTGTGGGGTGCCCCCGGGCACTTACTGGTGGAGCTAAAGAGCTTTATAACACTTGCCTGAGCAGAGCAGATGCTGGGCTGAGGGGCTGAGGGGCAAAGGGCCAGAGAGAGGCCTGCCTGTGGGCACAGCTGAGAAGAGGCTGTCCTGATCAAAGAACTGTATCCTGAATTGTTCCTCATCCTGAACTGTAACCTGTTATTTCCCCAATAAACTCCATAAGTGTGAGTGTGGTCTGTGAGTTCTATGTGGCCACTGCAATGAATTATCAAACCCAGCGGACGAGCAGACAGTGCCATGGCAGGGATGTGTGGTTTCAGAATTGGCAAAAAGGTTGGAGAGAGGAGGTATGTCTGACCTCCACCTCATAGGAATCAGCTTTGGGCTGATGCTGATGGTGATTCTTTCTCTCCCTTGTGAAGTTAGAGGAGGGCAGATGCCCCTGCCATGCCATTTTTATAACCCTCAAAGAGATGGATTGACACAGTGGCTACAACAATGGGCTCAAACATAGCAATGATTGTGAGGATGGCGCAGAACCAGGCAACGTTTGGTTCTGTTATACATGGGGTTGCTATAAGTAGGAACTGATTTGACAACACCTAACAACAACTAAGCAAAAAGTTGGCAATTTGAACCCACCCAGCAGCACCATGGAAGAAAGGCCTGGCAATCTGCTTCCATAAAGATCACAGCCAAGAAAGGAGCAGTTCTACTCTGCGACATATGAGGTTGCCATGAGTCAGAATCAACTCAACGGTGAGAAATTTGGTTTTTGGTTTGATTTATAGAATGTTTTCTTCCAGATGGAGGGCCAGTGATGCCAGCACGGCTTCTAAATCAAACGGCAAATGGTCCTTTTCACACTGACTTGAAATCTGTCGTCTGACATACATATGTCTATATATAGAGAGAGATACACACACATATTGTCAGGGATTGAATTGTGCCCCCCCAAAAAAATGTGTATCAATTTGGCTAGGCCTTGATTCCCAGTGTTGTGTGGTTGTCCTCTATTTTGTGATTGTAATTTTACGTTAAAGAGGATTAGGGTGGGATTGTAACACCACCATTACCCAGGTCACATCCCTGATCCAATGTAAAGGGAGTTTCCCTGGGGTGTGGGCTGCACCACCTTTTATCTCTCAAGAGATAAAAGGAAAGGGAAGCAAGCAGAGAGTGGGGGACTTCATACCACCAAAAAAGCAGCTCCAGGGGCAGAGTGTGTCCTTTGGACCTGAGGTTCCTGCACTGAGATGCTCCCAGACCAAGGAAAGACTGATGACAAGGACCTTCCTCCAGAGCTGACAGAGAGAGAGTTTTCCTGGAGCTGATGCCCTGAATTTGGACTTGCAGCCTACTGGACTGTGAAGAGAATAAATTTCTCTTTGTTAAAACCATCCACTTGTGGTATTTCTGTTAGAGCAGCACCAGATGACTAAGACACATATATACATATATACACACATTTAGATCTATTTTCTGACTGTCTATTCTGTTCCAAGGATGTCTGTCTTTTCCCGTGTCAGGCCAGGTATATTATTTTTAGCATCAGGCAAAAGCAGTTATTATTTTTTTTCTAAAAAAAGAACAAGCCCTTTGGAACCGCTGCTGGGGCCGGACAGGAGCAGAAACACCTGGAGGCCAGGAGGCCGGCTGAGAGAGGCCGCAGAGGACAGCCACCCCCCCCAACCCCCGCCAGCCCTAGCCAAGGGGAGAAGTAAGGACCCAGCTGCTTGTAAAATAAAGTCTTTCCTTTTATTTCAAATCAGCCCATTCTCAGTTAGTGCCATGAGTTCAGACAGGAGGCCTAAGCCCACTGGGACGTGGGGGGAGGGTTTACACCCTCTCCCCCAGCTCAGTCCCTTCAAGGAGGGGGCTGCCTGCCAGGGATGGGGGTGCAGGGCTGTCTGTCCATCCCCCTCCCTGGCCAGCCCTGGTTCCTGGCCTGCCCCCTTCAGCTTACTTCCAGGGCTAAAGAGAAATGGAGGGCGGGGTGGGGACTGGCGGGGGGCGGGGGAGGTGTCCTGTTGGGGTGTCCGTGGCCAGGGGTGTTAGTGGTCAGACCCCAGTCAGGCAGGGTTAGTGGGGTCTTCTCCGGCCTCCCGGGAAGGAACTGCGGAGAGAGCCACAGACAGAGGTTGAACCCAGGCCAGGGGGTAATCTGCACACAGCATGCCTCCTGCCCTCAGACCGCAGATTACTCCCCATGAAATGGGGGGCTGCGGCCCCTGCTGTGAAGAGAGGTTAAGAAAATAAAACTTCATTGAAGAGTGGTTTGCGGGTGGGGATGCCTAGGGAGGCTTCTCCGGGCCCCTTTCCCCGTCGTCTGGACTCTGAGTTCTCAAGTTTGGGAGAGGAGGGCAGAGGCCAGGCTTTGGAAGCTGGGGTGTCACTCGGGAAGCTCACCGGAGAGGGGGGGCTGGCTCCAGTCTGGCGGGGAGAAGAGGCTCAGATAGACGACTGCCACTGCACGAAGCGCTTGGATTCCTGCGCGCGGAAGGTGTGGGCTGAGGGGATGCAGGGAGACCTGGCGGTGTGGTGGGGGCCCCAGTCCCTCCCTCCTCCCTCAGACCCAGGAGTCCTGGCCCCCAGCCCCCTTCCGCCTCAGACCCTGGAGTCCGGGCCCCCAGCCCCCTCCCCCCTCAGACCCGGGAGTCCTGACCCCCAGCCCCTCCTTCAGATCGAGGAGTCCAGGCCCCCAGCCCCCTCCCCCTCAGACCAAGGAGTCCATTACCTGAGGGTTGAAAGGGTCATCATCATCTGTGTCATCATAGTCGTCACTGGGGTGAAAGGGGGGTAGTGGCAGAGAAACAGGACAGGGGAGCCATCAGGTGACTGTACCCTCCCAACAGTATCCCACAGATCCTGCCCCCTCCCTCCTTCCCCACTCAGGACCTTGGCCTCTCCCCTCATCCTGACCTGGGCGGGAAGAGCGCCCAGGCTCGGGGCAGGCTGCAGAGGGCGGTGGCCAGGGCCCCTGCAGACAGCAAGGAGAAGAGCAGCAGGAAGAGCAGGCCCTCCAGGGCGTCCTCGCACAAGCCTCGAAGGGCAGCGCCATAGTCCTGGGGGGGCAAGTGGGGGAGGGTATCAGCAGGCAATACCCCACACCCTCAACACACATTGTGTGCACATGAGTCAGATGCCTGCTGTGTGATACTGGACAATTCACCCAACCTCTCTGAGCCTAAGTGTCCTTCTCTGTCCAATGGTGTGAACGCTGTTGTTAGTTGGCCATCATGGTGACCTCATGTGTTGGATTAGAACTGTTCCATGGAGTTTTCTTGGCTGTAATCCTTACAGAAGGAGCACAGATGGCACAGTGGTTAAGCACTCGGCTGCTGACTGAAAGGTCAGCAGTTTGAACCAACCAGCCAATCCGTGGGAAAAAGATGTGGCAGTCGGCTTCCCTAAAGGTTACAAAAAAAAAAAAAACAAAAACAAAAACCCATTGCCGACAAGTTGATTCTGACTCATAGCAACCCTATAGGACAGAGTAGAACTGCCCCAGTAGGATTTCCAAGGAGTGGTGGTGGATACAAACTGCCGACCTTTTGGTTAGCAGCTGAGCTCTTAACCACTGCACTACCAGGGCTCCTCCCTAAAGACTGCAGCCTTGACAACCCTATGGAGCAGTTCTACTCTGTCCTATAGACATGGCACCAACAGCTACCTCCAGCAGTCATGCTTGGTAAAGTAGTTGTTGTTAGGTTCTGTTAAGTTGATTCCGATCCATAGCGACCCTATATACACAACAGAACGAAACACTGCCCAGTCCTGTGCCATTCTCACAATCATTGCTATGTTGCAGCCACTGTGTCAATCCATCTGGTTGAGGGTCTTCCTCTTTTTTTGTTGACCCTCTACTTTACCAAGCATGATGTCGTTCTCCAGGGACTGGTGCCTCCTAATAACATGTTCAAAGTATGTGAGACGTAGAAGTCTTGCCATCCTCACTTTTAAGGAGCATTCTGGCTGTACTTCTTCCAAGACAGATTTATTGCTTCTTCTGGCAACACCATAATTGAAAGGCATCAATTCTTCTTCAGGCTTCCTTATTCATTGTCCAGCATTCGAATGCATATGAGGCAATTGAAAATACCATGGCTTGGGTCAGGTGAACTATACAAAGGTCCTGCACCGTCCCTGGGATCGGATGTGATCCAAAGAATTTTACTGGCTGATTTTTGGAAGTAGATCTCCAGGACTTTCTTCCTAGTCCATCTTAGTCTAGAAGCTCCACTGAAACCAGTTCAACATCATAGCATGTGCAATAGCATGTGCAAGCCTCCACTGACAGATAGGTGGTGGCTGCGCATAAGGTGCATTGGCCGGGAATAAAACCCAGATCTCCTGCAGGGAAGGCGAGAATTCTACCACTGAACCACGATTGCCCCAGACAGTCAATACATGTTAACTGTTATTACCATCATCCCTGGAAATTAGCAGAACTACCATTTATTGAGGGAGTCCCTGGGTGGCACAAATGGTTAAGCTCATGACTACTAACAGAAAAGTTGGCGGTTGGAACTCACTTAGAAGTTCCTTGGAAGAAAGGCCTGGCGATCTGCTTCTGAAAAATCAGCCATTGAAAACCCTATGGAGCACAGTCCTACTCTAACACCCCTGGGTTGCCATGATTCCGAATCAACTTGATGGCAACTGGTGGTTAGGAATTTTCGGGGCAGTTCTACTCTGTCCTATAGGTCACTATGAGTTGGAATTGACTCATTGGCAATGGGTTTGACCAAGAGGGAGTCCCTGGGTGGTGCAAACGATTAATGCTCTCTGCTGGTAGCTGAAAGGTTGAAGGTTTGAGTCCACCGAGAGGCACCTCGGAAGAAAGTCCTGAGGATCTATTTCTGAAAAATCGGCCATTAAAAACCCTATGGAGCACAGTTCTACTCTGACACACATGGGGTAGTCAAGAGTTTGAATCAACTCAACAGCAACTGGGTAACTGGTCTGAGGAAGAGGGTGGAAGCAGCTGAGGCTGGAGATGTAGCTAGGGCCCTTGTAGGTCAGGGCAAGAAGTCAGGACTTTAATCTGTGCACAGTGGGAATCACTGGAGGGTTTTAAGTGGAGGAAGAGTTGAGTGGATTGTGTCTTAAAAGGATAGGTGGCTGTAGCATGGAGGACAGGTGGGGGTGTGCAGGCAGGGGCACAGGGAAGAGGCTTTTGCAGACATCTAGGTGAGAGCTGAGGATGGCGCTGTCCAGGGCAGCATCGGTGACGGTGGTGAGGTGTAGCCACATTCCAGGTAGGTTTTAGAGCATGAGCCAACAGAACTTGCTGGTGGAATGGTTGTGGGAGGTAAGAGCAGAGAGTAAAAAGCAAACAAAAATGATATTTCTATAACAATAATGGTGGCACAACATGAAAAATGTAATCAGTGTCGCTGAGTTGTGTCGGCAAATGTTTTGGTGTGTATATTTTCACCACAATTTTTTTAAAAAAGGATATTTCTAGGTTTCTGACTTGAGCAATTGGGTGGGTGTGGGCGAGGTGGTGCCTGTCACTGAGCCAATGAAGGCTGAGGGAGGAGCCCCTGGGTGGTACAAACAAAAGGTTAATGCGCTGGGCTGCTAACTAAAAGGTTGGAGGTTCGAGTCCACCCCGAGGTACCTCAGATGAAAGGCCTGGTGATCTACTTCTGAAAAATCAGCCATTGAAAACCCTACGGAGCACAGTTCTACTCTGACACACGGGGCTACGTAGAGTTGAAACTGACTAGAAGGCAACAGTTTGTTTTTATGGTTTGAAGGCTGAGGGAGGGGCATGTCAGGGAAATAGGGAGTTCTGTTTTGACTGCATAGGCGCATGCATAAATGTTCTTTCATCCTCACTACAGCCTTGCAATGCAGGCATCAATTCCCTCATTCCGCTTTTTGTAGTGCCAGAAAGAAACTGAAGCCCAGAAAAGGCAAGCCGCTTGTCCAGAGTCACACAGCCTGGCAGGCGCAGGGCTGGGATTGGAGTTCAAGTCTGTTAGGCCGTTTTGTTGGTCCAGGCAGAGGCTTGGTGGAAGGGGGAATTGGGGAGGGGGGCGGAGTTCACCTTGTGCAGGCCGCGGCAGTGCAGCAGTGCCACCAACTGGTGGAAGTTTCCCTCTGTCACATTGAGTGTCTCCTCCAAGGACAACAGAGGCTTCTGCGGTGGGAGGGGAGACTGTTATTCCACCTACAGCTCAAAACAGCCTATCGCCCGAGCGCGCCCCACTCTGTAGACCTCCGCGCAAGATGCAGGGCCCCGCCTACATCTGCCGGTCCCGCCCCTTCGTCCCGCCCCGCCCATACCTGGAAGGGCCGCCGCATTCCATAGGTCCCGCCCACACTCCCAAAGTCCCGCCCACAACTCCGTCTTCCCTTGAGGTCGGTGTGTGGAGCGCCAGACTCGATCCCCCCCCATTCCACCGGCCACTTCCATACCCAGAAGGCCCTGCCCACACCTGGCCAACCCAACCCATTCTGCCAGCCGTAACCACACCCTAAGACCCTGCCCACACCCATAGGACCTGCTCCGTTCCGCCTACATCTAGAAGGCCCTGCCCATACCTGGCTGACAGACTACATTCCGCAAGCCCAACCCACACCCAAAGGTTCAGCCCATATCGGCCAGCCCCTGATTCCGCCCGCTACACCCACCCCATGCCACAGTGCCTGCCCACACCCGGGCGGACTCAGACCCACCTCATTCTACAGGCTCCGCCCACCCACAGGCCCCGCCCATACCTCCGCCCTCCCTAAGGGCCTACCTGTGCAGAGGGAAACTGAGGGACTGCTTCTCTCTCTAGGCCCTGCAGATGGGAGTGAATGTTGGCCAGAGCTCGCTGCGACAGAGTCAGCCTCTGGGGGAAGACAGAAGGAGAGAGAATCCAGTAGTCCAAGCCCCAGCAGCCTCTCCTCTCTCAGGACACAGGGCTCTGCGCTCCTGACACCTTACTCCTCCCCCGGGACCCAGAAGTCCAAGCCCCCAGCCCGTACCTCCTCCCTTTCCAGAGTCCGAATTCCTGGTCCCCTCAAAACCCACTCCCCTCGCCCCCAGCCCTAACCTGTTGAAAGGGGTTGGAGACTGCCTGGTTGCAGAGGAAATAATAGTTCAAGATGTCTGAAACAGGAGGGGGAGAAGCGAGGAGTCATGAGGAGTCAGGACCCCCGAGACCCCACTGGAGGAGGACAGCAGGGGGCAGGGTTCTGTCTCTCCATCCCGTGCTCCAGCCACTCCTCACCTCAAGAACTCTTCTGTGATCCCTATGGCCTGGCATTCCAAGACCCGCCAACGCCCCCAGCTCCAAATCCCTCCCGCCCCAGCCTCATCCCAGGCACACATTGGTCTCCACACTCTCCCTCGAAAGCAGAGGTCCAACTTCCCCTTCTGCCATCTTTCCCCCGACTAAAACGTGCTCCCCACATTTCCTCCAGGTGGCCAAATCCTCCCACCCATGAAGGCCCAACTCCACTGCCTCCCGTGACCCCTCCTGTCGGGAAGAGGTGGCATCTGGGGGTGGGGCGGGGAGAGGCATGGTTTATATGAGGTACCCCTACCCCACCCCAGACAAGGCTGGGCACAGGGGACACCTGAGGAAACCAGGTGGATCAGCAGATCACCTGAGTCAAGCCCTGTCTCCTCTTGGGTCAGGTTCAGGATGTAGGTGTCTGGATTGGAGCAGAAGTCACTGAGGCCCTGAGAGAGGCAGGGGGAAAGGAGGGTTTCAGACCTGAAACTGACTCGATTCCAGACTCCCACAGTCAGAGGCCCAGAGAACTCTGTTCCCAGCTGCCCCCTCTAGTCCCTGGGGGCCCAGAAGTCTGGGCACCCAGCCCCTCCTCCCTCAGACTCAGGAGTCCTGGCCCCCAGCTCTCTCCTCACTCAGGACCCAGGAGTCCCGGCCCCCAGCTCCCTCCTCCCTCAGACCCAGGAGTCCAGGCCCTCCTTCCTCAGACTCAGGAGTCTGGGCCTTCCAGCCCCGAGTCCCAGAGACCAGGAGCCTGATCCCCCTGCACTCACCACTGCAGCAGCCGCCTCTAGGCCCATGGAGCCCCAGCTCAGGACAAGAACCACGAGACTCATCACTGTCATCCTACAGTTGGGACAGGAGGATGGGGTGGGCTCTGGGTTCTTAATCTCTCTACCTCTTCCCTTCCCCCACCCCAAATCCCATCACAGCACCCCCAACCTCTGGAGCCTGGAGGATCAGAATTAGGGCCAGAGAAATTAGAGGGGAGGATGGTTGCTGACATCAAACTGAACACCTGGCCCCTGCTCAGAGAGGCCAGTGGGGTGGAGGTGAGCAGGAAGCCTCCAGCAGGGCCCCAGTCTGGCAGGTGGGCAGCCTGGATCACAGCCCAGCTCTGCCCTTGCCTCGCTCTGGGACTCTGGGAGGGTGACTGCTCCTCTCTGGGCCTCATTTTCCCCATTTTTAAATTCTGCAGGAATCCAGTGTTTCTCATGCACTCTCCCAGCTTCCGGAATCAAGATGACATCTGAAGCTTGGTCAGCCCCCAAGTCACCCCAGTCTCCTCCGAGGAATGGACAGCTCCAGGGCTGACGTTCACCTCCTGGATTTTCTCCAGGAGTCCCTGGGTGGTGCAAATGGTTAAATGCGCTGGGCTGATAACTGAAAGTTTGGGGGTTTGAGTCCACTCAGAGGCACCTCAGAAGAAAGGCCTGGCAATCTACTGCCCAAAAAACCAGCCACTGAAAACCCTATGGAGGACAGTTCTATTCTGACACACATGGGGTTGCCATGAGTCAGCATCAACTCAAATGGCGACTGGTTTGGTTTTGGTCCTTAGCGTGGTCAGAGAGGAAGAAGGGGACTCAGGGGGTCCCAAACTGAGGGCCTGGGTTTAAATCTCACTGTGGTCATGCTTTACCAGTCTCCAGTACCACCAATGGATTCAAACATACCAACGATCATGAAGATGGCCAAGGAATGCCTGGGTCTACCAGAAGCCAGGAGAAACAAGAAAGGATCTTCTCCTAGAGCCTTCAGAGAGAGCATGGCTTTGCTGGCATCCTGAATTTAGACTTCTAGCCTCCAGAACTGTGACAGAATAAATTTATGTTCTCATAAGCCACCTAGATTGTTGTACTATAGTGGCTTACGTGTGGTGCTATGATGCTGGAAGCTATGCTACCCGTATCTAAAATACCGGCAGGCTCACCCATGGTGGACAGATTTCAGTGGGGCTTCCACACTAAGTCAGACTAGGAAGAAAGTCTTGGTTATCTACTTCCAATAATTAGCCAATGGAAAGCCTATGGATCACAATAGAATATTGTCCAATCTAGTGCTAGAAGATGATCCTGAAGGTTGGAAGGCACTCAAAATACACAGTGGCTGCAGCAATGGACTCGAGCATACCAATGATCATGGGGATGGTGCAGGACTGGGCAACGTTTCATTCTGTGGTACATAGGGTCAGAGCTGATTGAACAGCAACTAACAACAACCTCCTTTGTGGGTGTCTGTGGCCACTAAAGGAGTTAATATGTACAGCACTCGATAGATGCCAGTGATGGTCTTCCTCCTCATCATTGCAAACATCATTTTTATTTTATTAATGTTATTTATTTATTTATTTTTACTATAATAGAGTCTTCACCCTGTTGCCTGTTTCCAGGTCTGCTCCCGGCTCCTCAAAGGATGCTCTTGGTCTGATTTCTTTCTCTGAGCCTGGCCCCTAGCACACACAGTGCCTGGTCCAGACTGGGAACCCCACGGATATTTGTGGAACCACCACCACCATCAGCTGCCGTGGAGTTGACTCCCGACTCATGGCGACCCCATGTGTGTCAGAGTAGAACTGTACTCCACAGGGTTCTCAATGGCTCATTTTTCAGAAGTAGATCACCAGGCCTTTCTTCCAAGGGTGAACTTCAACCTCCAGCCTTTCAGTTAGCAGCCAAGTTCGTTAACCATTTGAGCCACCCAGGGACTCCTATTTGTGGAACAAATGAATGAATTCAGTGTGGACTGGGAGGGATCGTGGTTCCTCTCATAAGAGAGCTGTGAGATTGCATGAGATCCTGCCTGCCAGGGAAGATGGTAGGCACACCACTGAGCAGAAGACTAGCAGGGGTCCATCTGAGACCAGTATTACACTGTGAGATGTGCTGACAGGGATGGTAAACGGGCCATGAGGTGAGGGCTGCCCAGACTTACACGATCACCAGCCACTTGCTCTGCTTCGCCAGGCCCAGCAGGGTGAAGAGGCAGACCAGGAGCTCCAGGAGCAGAAGGAGGACGTAGGCCAGCCACCTGGGGAGGGGACAAGTATAGGGCTGAAGCAGCAAGCCTAGACTTCTGGCCACCAGGATCCCCAGGGCTTCGGACCAGTTCAAACCAGGTCAGTCATAGCCCACGAAGCAAAACCGGAACAGACCGAATTTTTAAAATTTGGGTGAACCAGAATGAGAACTGGAATGGGAAAAATTAGGAGTTGAAGCCCTAGAACAGGAGACTTGGAAGAGGCATAGGGAGCCCTTTCAGGAGCCTGATTCGGGAGATTGGATTACTGGCAGGACTGTGGAAAGTGGACACATATTCAAAGCAGCACAGTTGGCTGCCATCTTTGAGCGGGGCACCACTATTTCCAGCTCTGCTCAAAATTCCACAGGCAAGAGATTTGGTTGCTATGCAATGCATACTCTGCCCTTGTTTTCTAAGAGGGAGGTTAAGTTTCCAGCAGGGCTTCATCCCTTAATTTTTCCATTCCGGTTATTGTTCAGTGTCACCCAAATTTAAAAAATTTGAGTCTGTTCTGCTGTTACTTCCTTGACCATGACTGCACCAGGAAGAACCAGTTAAAAGACCTGAGGTTCCCAGACCAGGACTCAGAGTGGGCCAGTAGTGCCTCCAAGTTCGTGACCCAGATCCACCTAGCTCAGGACCCGAGTTCGAGCCCCAGCTACAAACAGCTCAGAACCAAGTTCGTGCCCAACCTCTACTCAGGTCAGAGCCCGAGCCCAAGACCCCAGCTCTGCTGAGACTCAGAGTGAGTGGGTAATGCCCCCAAATTTATGCCCCAGCCCCTCCCAGCCTGAGAGCCCAAGTTCACGACCCATCTCCGCCCGCCTCAGAGGGGGTGGACAGTGCTCCAAGTTCATGACCCAGCTCCACATATCCTCAGAACCCAAGTTTATGCTCCACCAAGCCTCAGAAAGGGCAGGCAAAATCCTCAAGCTCACATCCTAGCTCTGCCCAGACTTAGAACCCAAGTTCATGTCCCAGTTTTGCCCCGCCTTTGAGGCAGTAAGCAGCGCCCCCAACTTCACTCTCTAGCTCTCCCTGGCTGTGTGACACCCCGCTCACTCATAGGTAGAACAAGCGCATTGGGAGGCAGGATGCTGTATCAGTTTAGACCTCAGGTTTGGGGTAGGAGCCCTGAGATCTATCCTTACTGGACCACACACCAGCTTTGTGAGTGTGAACAAGTGATCTGGCCTCTTTGAGCCCCAGCCCCCCACCCCTACTCTGCAAAATGGAGCTATGCTATTCATTCCCAGGCATGCAATGAGGATCCTAAAGCACAACTAGAGAGCATGGTATCTGGAGGCAGAGACTGCCTGGATTCCAATCCCAGTCCCTCCAGTTACTCGCTGTGTAACTTTGGGCCAGTAATTTTACTTCCTATGCCTCTGTTTTCTCACCTGTAACACAGTGAGAACGATAGTACCTACTTCCAGTGATTGATGTGAGGCTAATGAGTGAATACATGTCAAGCTGTTAGAAGTGTCAAGCCTATGGGCTCACTTAAATATGAGCTTAAATATTAATAAGGAAAAACTAAATATTATTTAAAAATGAATAATCAACTACAGTGAAACCTGTGAGAGCCGGAACTTGGTGGGACTGCCTTGTTTTTCCAGGTCTTGCAAGGTTTCCGCCTTTGAGAGGGTGCAGTCACCACTCTTCTATCGCTCTCTCTTCAGTGGAAAATATTTGAGTTTTCCTTCTCTGACAGGTTTCTGCCGTATACAGGTTCCGGCTCGCGCAGGTTTTACTGTATTAATGAATACTTAACCTAAACCTAACCAGTTGCCATCCAGTTGAGAACTACTGCTGTACAGGGTGGGAAGAGTGATCACTCCCCTGTTGTGTGCTGTTGAGCCGATTTCGACTCATAGTGACCCAGTGTTACAGAGTAGAACTGCCCCATAGGATTCCTTAGGCTGTAATCTTTACAGGAGCAGATCGCCAGGTCTTTTCTCTCATGGAGCCGCTGGGTGGGTTCCAACTACCAACCTTTCGGTTAGCAACCTAGGGTTTAACCATTGCGCCACCAGAGTTCCTTACAACCTGAATAGGTACTCTTAATGCAACCAAGAAAGGAATAAGCAATGCAAGGCAATGATTCCTATCCTCATAAATCTCACAACTCTATAAGGTGCGCCTGCACGATGTTAACAACCTGAACCACACCTGTGACAATAAACTCGCTTCAGTCAAGTTGATTTGAACTCATAGCAACCCCATATGACAGAGTAGAACCACCCCCTAGGCTTTCCTAGGCTGTCATCTTTATGGGAGGAGGAGCCATTGGTGGGTTCAAACCGCCAACCTTTTGGTTAGCAGACTAGAGCTTAACCGTTGCACCACCAGGGCTCCCTCACTCACCTGTACTCCTCCACAAAGGATAAGTCTTCAGCCACTTGCAGGGGGCTCAGGGGCACTGCATGCCAGAAGGCCAGCCCCTGGAGCTGCTGGGCCACAGCTTCCGCCTGCCGCCGGGCCCCCCGGGCCGCAGCCACCAGCTCTGTGCGATGAGTGAGCACTTCCTCCAGGGTGGTCAGCTCTGTCCTCACCGCCTCACCCAACCTCTCCACTGTCTCAAACACCTGGAGGAAGGGTGGGTCTGAGGTCTGGGAAGGCCATTCTATGGGAACCCTGGGGTTTGGGGATGAGGTTGTGAGGGTGATGTAAGAGTAAGCTGTAGTGGGTGTCTGAGATCTGAGGTATGGGGTATCTGAGAACTGAGGAAGGGAGGGGATCTGGGAGGGGGGGGGTCTGAGGGCAAGTTCATGGAGTTATGTGGCTTTTATCAGGGCTCTGGGTTGTCAGTGACCTGAGCCTCAAAAATTCCAGCCCCAAAACTGAGATTAAGTCTGGGGTCTGTAGTTGAAGTCTGTATCTGCCTTTCTGAGTCTGAGGTCTCAAGTTTGGTGTCCATGGTTCAGGGTCTGAAACTGGATATGAAATCTAGGGTTTGAGATTGGGCTGGGTCTCACCATCGGGGTCTGGAGTCCTGGGTCTGGGGTTGGAGCTGAGGCCTAATGTCTGGGTCCTGAGTCTCAGCGTTGAGGTCCCTGAGCTTGTGTTTAGGGCAAGGATTAGATCTGTGGCTCTAGATCTCATCTTAGGTCAGGGTCTGGGATCTTCAGAGTTTGGTTTTTGTCTAGTTTGGGGTATAAGTCTCAGGTTGACATCCAGGGCTGGAATTGGGGATGAATTTGGTGACTGGGTTTGAGTCTTGAGTTTCAGAGCTAGGTTAAGGTTCTGTGGTTCCCACGTCAGAGGTCCTTAATTTGTGGTTAGGGTCAGAGGTTGAACACAGAGTTTCAAATGCAAGTCTGAACCTGAAGTTCTGGGTTTGGGGTCCTAAGTTTCACATCTAGGGTCTTTGCTCTGGTCTGAATCCTGTTTCTCTGGGAGGAGTCTCTCTGTCACTGGGTCTGCATAGGGTCTTGGGTCTTGGTGTGGGGAACCAGTCTGGGTGTGGGTCTGGGGTCTGGCCAGCCCTTGGCCCCTCACCAGGTGGTCAACGGCGCTGAGCGTGTGATTAGCATGCAGCAGTGCAGAGCTGAGCTGAGACACCCCATCACTGGTCTCGCTGTTGCCATAGAAACCGATGCCAATGCCGGCGCTGAGAGGAGGAGGAGGGAGGGGAAATCTCAACGGGTCCCGGGACCCTGGAGGCCATCGCCCCTCTCCTCATACACCCATCCTGCCCCCTACCCCCACCCCATTGGTCCAGTCCATCGTGGGAAAGGAAAGTCTCCAGGCCCAGGTCCCACCGGTTGTCAAGGTAACGGGAAGGCCTCACTCCCCCAGCTGGAGGGACGTCATTGTGATGCTAATGGTGGGTGGAGTGGCGGAGGGGAGGGAGCCCCCAAATTTAACTCGCACCTCACCACAGTGGAACCCAAATCACGCCCAGCCTCAGGATAAGAGGTCCTCCTCACCAGTTATGTCAGCCCCACACCCATCCTTGTCAGAGAATCCACACTCCTCAGTACCTGGCCCCTCAGGTGTCAGGAGTCCCCGCCCCTGCCACCTGGGGGTTTCTAGGGGTGGAGACCCCCATTTACCATCTTCTGGGGGACAAGGAGCCTGTTGCTCCCAGCCTTCCTCCCACCCCTGGGACCCAAGCTTCTGACCAGCTGGGAGGGAGGCAAGGGAATGTGGGAAGGAGAATGGGCAAGAAGCCGGCGCCCCCGCCGCACCCCAGCCAACACACAGGGATCCATTGTGGGGTCTGAATACGGGGCCCCATGCCCCTCCCGCCCTGTGCGTCCCGGGGCGGAGGGGGTGAGAGCCGGACTGGGCGGAGGGAGATGGTCGCCCTCACAGTTCCCAGCCCAGGGCTACGCCTGGGGGCCCCCACCCCCGGCCCTGGATCTGACGCCAAGCCCCAGCGCTCTCGCCTCATTGTTCAGAGTCCCACAAAGCTCCTCTTGTTCGCGGGCGGCGGGGGCTGGGGCTGTGTCTCTCCCCCACTGGGCCTTTGTCCACTGCCCCCGTCCACCCCCATTCATGAGCTCCTAAAGAAGAAGCGTCTTGGATATAGGGCACCCAGCCCCCACCCCACCCCCAAACTCACAAACTGTTTCTCTCAGCAGTGCGGGAGAGTGGCACAGCCTAGCTTGGAGGGAATCTGACTTCCAGGTTATTCCATGGGCTGTAGGAGCAACCACCTCTGGTTCTTCCACTTGCTAGGTGTGGCGTTTGGGACCTTAATCTGTAGACTAGGACAGCTTATGACCTGGGGATGCTGCTGGAGGGTGACCTGTGCTCAGCATTGGCACTTGCTTAATGCTGTGTCCTCAAGTCCCCTCTTTCTCTCTGCCCTGGGCATGTCAGAGAAGAAGGTCCTTGGGTTCAGATGGGTTTGGGAGTCAGATTAACTTGGGTCCCAATCTCCACTCTTCCACTTTAGCCAGGAGGCGTTGAAAAGTTCCCTTCTTTCTCTGAAGCATCCTATTTCAAAAACCAGTGTGACAACCCTGAATCCATCAAGGCAATTGTAAGAAGGAATAAGACTAGCTCAGGTCTGGGCACACAGTAGGTGCTCTTGGACTGTAAATATTCCGTTATTGCCTGTCTCCTGGACTAGAAGTTCAGCTCCCTGAAAACTCATTGCCGTGGAGTTGATTCTGACTCATAGCAACCCTATAGGACAGAGTAGAACTGCCCGATAGGGTTTCCAAGGCTGTAAACTTTACTCAAGCAGACTGCTACATCTTTCTCTCATGGAGCAGCTGGTAGGTTTGAACTGCTAACCTTTTGGTTAGCAGCTGATCACTTAACCACTGTGCCATCAGGGCTCTTTAGCTCCATGAAGGCAGGGACCTTGTCTGGCTTGTTCAGTGTCTCCCAGCAAATAGTAGGTGCTCATGAAAGACTTGTTGAATGAGTGACATCATAAGTTAACAGTTGCTCAGCACAACTGTGAGCCAGGCATTTTGAATTATCTCATTTAATCTTACCGTAATTATGGGGTGGGTTTTACTATAATGATCATTTTATAGATGTGCAAACTGAGGCCCAGATAAATTACATCATCTTCTCTCCCCCAACTCAGGTCAAATAGCTATTCAATGGTATAGCCACTAAACCTAGGTAGTCTGACCACCCAGTCTCGGCTCTTAACCCCTACTCCTTCCTTCCAGGCTGGCTGTTGTTGGGATAGTCACTTCACCTCTCTGAATCTCAGTTTCTCCATACCTCAAATACTCCCAGCTGCAAGGCTGAAGTGGGATTCTGTCTCCAGGGGAGTCCCTTCCTTCCTGTCTGCTCCCATGCCCCAGGACACCACCAGCAAGGCTGGCAGAGAGCTTGGAGAGCCTTGTCCCCATTCCCCACCCACCCTGGGGCCCCATTACCAGCTGACGAGAAGGGCGGCCACACAGCTCCAGGTAACACAGCCTCCCCCGGGCTGGGGGCTCTTGGCCCCAGGCGGCTCTGGGGGCCGGCAGCAGCAGAAGCGGATGAGGTAGACAGCGATGAAAATGAGGCTCAGGCCCAGGCCCAGGCCTGCCAAGGCCACCACCAGGAGCAGGGCCTGGGAAAGGGGGTGAAATCAGGCCTCCATGGACACCTGTATGTTCCAGACTTGGAGCTCCCTCCCTGCATGGCTGGGGTTTCTGGTCAAAGATCTCTGATGTGAGATGAGAGGAATCCTTGGCCAGATCAGGAACTATATGCCAATCCCAACCTTCTGATGTTCAGGTTGGTGGGGGAAAAGATGAGGTCTCCAGCCCTGCCCAAGCTGACAGCTGGGGCTCTGGGAGGAGGGGCTGGGTCACTGCAGGGAGGTTCCAACCAGGAGGCTCAAGTCTTGGGTTCTAGTTCTGCTCTCCCTCCAATGGCTGTGTGACCTCTGGCCTCTCTCTCTGAGCCTCGGTTTCCTCCTCATTGCAACCAGGCAGGTGGAGTGGAGCATTTCTGAGGACCTGTGGAGGTTCCTTGGAACTGTGTGGGATCAGGCGGTGGGCAGCGGTGTCTGCTCCAGGCAGGCTTACTCTCCCTCCTCCCTGTTTGTCCTCCCCACTCACTGCTCCCTCTCCCCCTCCTGCTGAGCTCTGCACACCCAGCACAGCCGTAAGCCTGACAGCCAGGGGACTCACAGGAGATGTGTGGTGGCTTCTGCTTCTGTGACTGTGTGTGTGTGTAGGACTCAGAGATGGGGACTGGAGGAATGAAGACTGTAGAAAGCGGGAGAGGGGGATGAGAGAGAGAGAGAAAGAAGGAGGAGGAAGAGGAGGAGGAGGAGAGACTCTTTGCAGTAGGGTGTGTAAGTGCATGAGTGAGGGTGTGTGAGGAAATGTATATGTGAGTAAAGAGAGAAAGAGGAGGAGGAGAGAAGTGAGAGATGGAGGAGTTGGAGGAGGAGGAGGAGGGAGGAGAAAGAGGAGGAGGCGAGGAAGGAGGAGGAAGAAAGAAGAGAGAGAGGAGGAGGAGGAGAGAACAGAAACAGAGAGAGAGAAGGAGGAGGAGGAGGAGAGATGAGAGATGGAGAAGACACAAAGATAGAAAGACACAGCAAAGGAAAGAGACAGGTGCAGAGCTGAGAGAACAAGACAGAGACCAACAGAGATGGAGTCAGAGATAGAGGGAACAGAGTCAGAGGGAGAAACAGAGACAGATCTCAGACAAAGATATAGAAAAGTAGAGAGTCAGAGATAGGAGAGGGAGGGAGTCAGAGCATCAAGAGCTGGGAGGGCAGACACAGAAGACGTGCCTGGGTTCGCCTTGCAGAGTGACAGGGCTCTTCGCGTGGCGGGGACTTTACAGTGGCTGCTGTGTAAGCTGTGTGTTTTAGAGACGCTGCATTGGAGGCCCAGAGCTGGGTAGGGCCTTGCCTTCAGCCCCACAACCAGGTGGGGGCAACGTCGGACCAGACACAGACCTCTGGGCTTGCTGGCGCTGTTTTCCCTTTACAGTGGGGTGTGTGACTGTGGGAGTGAGTATGTGGGTGAGTGTGAGTCTGCGAGAGTGCATGAATGTGTATGAGAGTGTATATGAGTGTGTATGTGAATGTGAGAGTCTGTGAGCGTGTGAGTGTGAATGAGTGTGAGTGAATGTGAGTGCACGTGAGGGTGTTTAAGAGTGTGCGTGTGTGATTGTGTGCCTTTGTGGGCTCACCGGTGCCTGCCCGTGTGAGAGAGTGAATCTATGGACATTTCTGTGGTTCTGGGCAGTGATTCGACTCCATGAGTGGCCTCTGGAGGTGTGAGTGTGTGTTCGTGCAGGTTCGTGTTGGCATGTCAGTGTGTGTATGTGAGTGTATATGAATGAGTGTGTGAGCATGTGAGTGTGTATGAGTGTGTGTGAGCATGTGAGAGCACACATGCCAGTGAGTGTGTGAGCGTGCATGTGAGTGTGTATAAGAGTGTGAGCGTGACAGGGAGTGTGCCATCATACAAGCGTGTGTGAGTGTGCATGAGTGTGACAGCACGTGAGTGTGCAAGCACAAGAGAGTGAGTGTGCAAGCACAAGAGAGTGTGCGTGTGCATGGGCGTGACAGCATGTGAGTATGCATGTGAGAGTGTGTGAAAGAGGGTGTCTCCGTGTGGAGGAATGCCCACCCTGAGCGTGTGACTGTGCATGTCCCCTGGCTGCAACCCTGACCATAGTAGGGGTCGTGTGAGCCCCTGTGTATTCAGTGAGTGCCCTGGCCGTGACTCCGTCATGGGACCGTGAGTGTGTCTCGAACCTTGCGACTGGTTGTGTGGTTGTCAGTGTAGGAAGGTGTCAATGGGTGTGAGTGCGTGTGAGTCTCGCGGCCACAGCTGTAAGTCTAAAGCGCCACTAGAAGTTGTGGTTGTGTAACTGTGAGGGAACCTTAGCGTGGGACTGTGGGTGAGGGCATGGCGGTCCTGGTCCCGGTCCCGGTCCCTGTGTGGTGGAGGAGGTGGCATGGGTGGGGAGAGGGGGCGCCGTGGAGGAGGCGGGGAGGAGCTGCTCACAGCTGTGCCAGCCATGACCCAAATAACTCAGAACACAGCACACACTCCCCTTCCTGCTTCTCTGCTTTTCCAGGACCCCCACCCTCCACCCCTTCTAAGCTCTTGCACCCCCAGCCGCCTTTCTGGCGCGACTCCCTAGGAAAGATCCAAGGCGTTCAGACACTATAGGCAGGGCCCAACACTCATTCCAGGGCTGCTAATTCCCCCACCCAAATTCCCAGCTCAACCAAGCCATTCTCCTCATTAATCTCAAAGTCAAAGCCTTGAATTAAACCGGGTCAGGGGACAGTCGTTTCGCCCTCATTGGAGCTGACCCAGGCTGGGCCCCCTTCCCTGGGCACCCCGGCTTCTGTAATGTTTCCACACCAGCCCCTTCCACCAGGACTCATTTCTGTCATCCCCGAATCCCCAAACCCAACCTCATCTTTGCACCCCCCTCCACTCTGGCTCCCAGATAAACTGCCCCTTCTGTCCTGGGATCACTGGATGCTTTCTCTTCCAACCCCTCCACCCCATTTTCCCAGCCCCCCCATCCCTCCCACTTCTCATTTCAGGTTCTCAACCCCACCCCAGAACCGGGGCAGCCCCTAGCCTTTTTCTTCTCCTTCATTACCAGGTCCTCTCTCTCCTGGGACCCACCTTAACTGGGACATATTTACCTGCCCTGATGGTATGGGGGGAGGGGTCATCTTTTAGGACACAGCTCCCCCCCCCGCAAAGACCCTGGAGGCTAGCATCTCTGGCAGCTCCTCTCTCTCTCAGAGACCCAGGAATCCAAGGCTCCCAGATCCCTCCCTGTTCAGGGAGTCAGGGGTCCCGGCCCCCCGTAACCTCCTTATTTAAGGAGCTAGGGGCCCCCGTCCCAGAGGAGTCTCCAGGCACTCCCCAGGCTCCCCCTCCCTCAGATACCCCAAAGTCCAGTCCCGGCCCCCATCCTCGGGGAACACAGGAATCTGCTACCCAGTCTTCTCCTCCCGCGGGACCCAGCAGCTCTGGTCCCCCGAGCCCTGATCCCCAGGTCCCCGCTCCCTGCCCCACCTGCTGGTATTCCTGCTCTTGGGGCGCGAAGCCGCTGGGCACCGGACGGAGCTGGAAGTCGGCGCGGGGCAGCTGGTGGAGGAGATGCACCCAAGCTGAGGGCCGGTATCCCGGGGGCTCCCCCATGGCCCCCGGGGAGGGGGCAGCGGGGCCGACGCCGGGGCTGCAGGCGCCTCCGGAGTCGAGCGGGGCGCGGGCAGAGCAGGGACTGGTGGGGCTCACGGGAGGCAGGGCGGGGGGAGGGGAGGGGTAGGGGGCGGAGATCTGGGGGGAGGCGGGGGGAGGCGCGGGGCCAAGTGCAGACGGTGCTGCCTCTAGCGGCTGCAGGAGGGACTGCGAGCGCCTAGAACGGGCCCCCCAGCCCTCCTTCCTCACCCTGCAGGGGCGTCCTCTTGGTCCTCCGCTCCCACCTGCGGCCCGCGCAGGTACAGAGCGGCTCCGGTGGGAATCCACTCCGCACTCCTGTCAAGCAACTTGAAAATATCGGCCTTCCTTATCTATAGAAGGCCCCTCATACTATGCTATCACCCTAAATCTTTATCACCCTTTACCTTTATGAAGACCCTTCATTCATATTATGTAAAAACCGTTGCCACAGAGTGGATTCAGACTCATAGCGACCGTATAGAACAGAGTAGAACTGCCCCGTAGGGCTTCCTAGGCTGCTTTGCTGCTAACCGAAAGGTTGGAGGTTCGAACCCACCAGTCATGTGGTAATCTGTTTCTTTAAAGATTACAGCCTCGGAAACCCTGTGGAGCAGTTCTACTCTGTCCTATAGGGTCTCCATGAGTCAGAATCAACTTGACAGTAAGAGGTTTGTTTTTTTGTTTTTAGTCTTTACAGGAGCAGATCACCAGGTCTTTCTCCCGTGGAGCTGCTGGATGGGTTCCAATCGCCATCCTTTCTGTTAGCAGCCTAAGGCTTAACCGTTGTGCCGCCAGGGCTCTTTAAGTAAATATATAGAAACCAAAAAATTATTAGTGGTTATCAGGGGCGGGAGGGAAAGGAAAGGGAGAATTTTTACTTAGGGGGCATTGAGTTTATGTAAATGGTGGTGGAATATTTTGGAAAAGGATAGCGAGAATGGTGGCACAACTTGAAGAATGTCATCAATGTCAATGATTTGTAGATGTGGATATATCTGTGCTGGAGAATGTTTTGGTGTGTATGTTTTCACCACACACCCTTCCTCCCTCCAGAAAGTCCCTCTTGTCTGCGGGTGCTCTAACCTGGAAAGCACAGCTCCATTTGGGTAAAAGTCCCCCTCCCTTTTACAAACCTGTATAAGACACAACTTCTATACACAAACCTTCCTGTCTATACAGATCACTCCAAAGCCGTTGCCTTTGAGTCAATTCTGGCTCACAGCGACCCTATAGGACACAGTAGAACTGCCCCATAGGGTTTTCAAGGCGTAGCTGGTGGAATCGAACTGCCATCCTTTTGGTTAGCAGCTGAGCTCTTAACCACTGTGCCGCCAGGAATCCAGAATATGTAAAAACCTCTCATACCAATGTAAGAAGGGGGAGGAGTGAATATTTGCAGCACAGGACATTTTTAGGCAGTCAATCTATTCTGTATAATACTGTAATGGTGGACACATGACATTATGCATTTTTCAAAGCCCATAGGACTGTACAACACAAAGAGTGAACCCTGATGTAATCCATAGACTTTAGTTAATAATACGTATCAAATATACCACAGGGATGCAAGATGTTAATTATGGAAACAGTGTGCAGTGGAGAGAGGAGCTATATGGGAACTCCCTGTACCTTCTGCACAATTTTCTTTGAACCTAAAACTTCTCTAAAAATAGTCTATTAAAAAAAAAAAAAAAACTACGTAAAGACCCCTCACTTCTGCATAAGGATCTCCACTATGTGTATAAAGACCCTACTCATCTGCATAGGGATCCCTCTTATCTTTATAAGGATACCTACCATGTGTTTAAGAATCCCTCCAAACTGGTTAAGGATTACTTCAATGTATATAAAGACCCCTTGCCCCTTTCCATTCACCTTACAGTTTTTAAATCATTTTTCCAGCTACTACCTATGTTGAGTCTCACAGGAACCCACTGATACCATATTGATTGATGGAGAAGGAGAGACCCTGAGAGGGAACCTAGCCACAATGATGCCACCACCCCGGCAATCAGTGTTAGAGCTAAAACTAAGATTCCCAGGAATCCTACACCAGGAGTCTCACCTTGCTGTGAGGCAGGACTAGACTTTATCACTTGGAGTCTTCATACCTGGCCTCCCCTGAGGGGATTGAGATAAGTAGGGGGAAGATAGGGAGATTAAGGCTATACCTATCCCACCCCATATTTTGCCCCAAATTGCTGAGAAAAGGCTGGGAAGTAGTTGCCCATCCCATTCACAGAGAAGAAAAATAATGATAATAGTGGTGGTGGTGGTGGTGATGGGGAGGATAAAGATGATGGTGGTGATAATGATTATAATGGTAGTGATTATGGTGATGATGATGATGGTAATGATGATGACAGTGGTGATGAAGATGATATGATGATAATGATTACATGATAATGGTGACTGTGATGATGGTGAGGATAATGATGATGGTGCTAGTGGTGATAATAGTGAAGATGATGATGATGATGATGACAATGACAATGATGGTGAGGATGATGGTGATAATATTGATGGTGGTGGTGATGATTATAATGGTAGTGATTATGGTGATGATACTGATGGTAGTGGTGATGATTATGATAGTAGTAATGATAGCGATGATGATGATTATGGCAATGATAATGACAGTGATGATGACGATGATAATATGATGACAGTGATTATGTTAATGATGATGATAATGGTGATGAAAAAATGAGGTGATAATGGTGATGATAAGGATGGTGGTGGTGGTGGTGATAATAGTGAAGAGGATGATAATGGTAATGGTGAGGATAATGATGATGGTGAGGATGACAATGACAATGATGGTGAGGATGGTGATGGTGATGATAACAGTGGTGGTGATAATAGTGATGATGATGGTGATAATGAGGATGATGATGACGGTGATGATGACAATAGTAACGATGGTGAGGATGATGATGGTGGTGATGATATTTGTGGCGGTGGTGATGATTATAATGGTAGTGAGTATGGTGAGGATGATGATGGTGCTTATGATGACAGTGATGATGATGACAGCGGCTTATACTTAACAAGTGCTTACAATGAGTCTATTATTCTTCTAAGAGCTTTATATGGATAACCTCATTTAATCTTCACAACAATCCATGAGGTCAGTACTATGATTATCCCCAGGTTACAGATAAGGAACCTGTGGCCCTGAAAAAGGTAGAGTTACTTGGCCAAGATCACACAACTAGGAAGTGGCTGAGTTGATCCTCCAACAAAGGCAGTCTAGCTGTAGAGCCTCCATTGTTGTTGTTAGTTGCTGTCGAGTCAGCTCTGACTCATGGCGACCTTATGTATAGCAGAACAAAACATTGTCTAGTCCTGCGCCATCTTCATGATCACTGATATGTTTGAGTCTGTTGGGGCTATTGTGTCGATCCATCCCACTGAGGGTTTTCCTCCATTTCACGGACCTTCTACCAACCATGGTGTCTTTTTCTAGAGGTTGATTTTTCCTGATGACGCGTCCAAAATAAGTGAGTTGAGTCTCACCATCCTTGCTTCTAAGGAACATTTCTGGATGTATTTCTTCTAAGACTGATTTGTTCATCGTTTTGGCAGTCCACGGTATATTCAGCATTTTTTTGCCAACACCACAGTTTGAACACATCAATTCTTCTTGTCTTCCTTTTTCATTGTTGAGCTTTCTCATGCGTATGAGGTGAATGATAAGACCATGGCTTGGGTCAGGTGCACCTTAGTCATCAAAGTGACATTTTTGCTCTTTTAAAGAAGTCTTTTGCAGCAAATTTGCCCAGTGAGGTAGCCTGCCCTAAATTTAAGCCCCTGGTTGGACAATCTCCTACTTCACATCCACGGGTCAGTGAACAATCAGGACTTGTCAAGGGGGAGAATTCCTAACACAATGATGTGCACAGTTGGGAGCATGTGCATGAAGGTAGGGGGCAGTCGCTTATCATGACTCTGCAACTCAAGAGCATACAGTGTCTCCCCACTCCCCAGGGGATCAAGTTAAACCCTCTCAGGCCTGGGTTTAATCTCTCCACCGTCTGATCTGCTTCAGCCCTCCCCATATGGATAATATTTGAGAGTGGCAGGTTTCCAACTTGTAGGACCATGACCCACAATGAGAAATACATTTTACATCATGATCTGGTACATGCATATACACACATACACACACACACACAACTGAAGTTTCATGAAACAAAACTGACTTCCGCTATGTGCAATACACTCAGATATTTTTCAGTTGCCTCATATGCATGTGAAAGCTGGACAATGAATAAAGAAGACCAGAGAAGAATTGATGCCTTTGAATTATGGTGTTGGTGAAGAATATTGAATATACTGTGGACTGCCAGAAGAACGAACTAGCCTGTCTTGGAAGAAGTACAACCAGAAGGCTCCTGAGAAGCGAGCATGGTGAGACCATCTCTCATACTTTGGACATGTTATTAGGAGGGACCAGTCCCTGGAGAAGGACATTATGCTTGGTAAAGTGGAGGGTCAGCGAAAGAGAGAAGCCCCTCAACGAGATGGTTTGACACAGTGGTTTCAATGATGGGCTCAAGCATAGCAATGATTGTGAGGATGGTGCAGGACTGGGCAGTGTTTCGTTCTGTTGTGCATAGGGTCGTTATGAGTTGGAACTGACTCAACGGCACCTAACAACAACAACAGGTTTATTTTATTTCATAAATGAAAAGCTGACCACAATCTCCTAAATTGTCTCATGACCCGCTGTCTCCGTTTTCTAGGGCTGCCATTACAAAACCACAAAGTGATGGCTTTAAAGAACCAAAATTTATTGTCTCATGGTTCCAGAGGTAGAAGTCCAAATCAGGGTATTGGCTGTGTCGATTCCTTCTGAGACGATTCGTTCTATGCCTCTGTCCTAGCTTCTAGTGACTGCCAACCATCCTTGATGTTACTTTGCTGCTTGTAGATGTTTGTTCATATGGCGTCTTCCCTCTGTGTGCATGTCTCTCTTTCTGCGTATGTTCTCTTTTTTATAAGACACCACTCAGAAGGGATTAGGACCCCCCTACTCTGATATGACCTCCTTTAGTTTAACTGATAACAAATGAAAATTCCTATTTCCAA